CTCATGAGTGGTCCTCGGGTGGATCTCCTTGGGCGGAAGGGTCTGAACTTAGAAAAGGAGTGAGGGTGTGGGCGATCTGGGGAAGAAGCACCCAGTGGGTGGGAACATGGACTAGGAGTAGGATGCTGGGAGGAAATGTGGACGCCAGTGGGTGGGGGCATTGAGGGGAGGGGGCCGCAGAGCTCAGAGGGCTCAGGGCAGGAGAAGGAGGCTTTGGAGGGCATGAGGAATTAGATGGGTATAGGCCCTTGGGGGGGTGTGGGACACTGATGGAGACCGTGGCACACTGAGGGAATGTGGGGTACAGGCCACCACGTGGGCCTGAGGCATGGAGGCCAGGCCCTGGGCTGGGTCTTGTTTCAGGACAGTCGCCCAGATGCCCTCCATGCCCCAGGGGTGGTGCAGAGCATCAAGGACCACATCACAAAGCCCACGGCCATGGCCCGAGGCCGCGTGGCCCACCTCATCGAGTGGAAGGGCTGGAGTGCCCAGCGGGCAGGCTGGGAGCTGTCCCCAGCTGAGGACGAGCGTTACTGCTGTCTCCCGGACAAGCTGCGTGAGGCCCGCTTTGCTGCAGGTCAGTGAGGAGGGGGACTGGCCAGGGCTCTGTGGGGATGAAGCTGGGACATTGAGGGGCCCAGATCACTGCATGGGCATCGTCTGGGCAGGAAAAAATAATGGCATAGAGTGGGGGGCTGTTAAGTGAGCATTCTGGACCACTGGGGCGTGGATGGGCAGCGCTGAGAGGCGGCCACCCTCCGGCCTGTCCTGGAGCAGCTCCATGGGGCACTGAGGCTGTCCCCACCCATCCCCCACGGAGCCAGATCTCGCTGTCCCCCCAGGGGTCGCCGAGCAGTTTGCCATCACAGAGGCCACACTGAGCGCTTGGTCCTCGCTGGATGATGAGGAACTGCACCCCGAGAACAGCCCCCAGGGCATCGTCCAGCTCCAAGGTACAGCCCAGGAGGTCCGGGGGCGGGGGTGGGCAGAGCGGAGCTGAGGGTGGATGCCTGCCCACCACCAAATGCAGTGTGGCCTCGGCCAAGCCCCTTCCTTTTCTCAGCCTAAGTTTCTTCATCTGTAAAATGCGGCAGTGATCCTTGCCCTGCCCATTGCCCGGCAGTGCCAGGAGCAGGAAGGAGAGAATGAGCACAGTGGGGGCGGGAATCGAGTGCTTACCGCACTGAGGGCTGTGCACGAGGCATCTCACGGAATCCTCACAGCAGCCCTAGGGAGGGGATCCTGTTGTCCCCATTTTACAAATAAGGAAACAGAGGCACTCAGAGATTCAGAAACTTACTCCAAATGACACAGTTAGAAGCGTCAGAGCCGGATCTGAAACTTAGCACCAGACACAAGCAACCGTCTTTCTAGAAGCCCAGGTTACTATTGAGGGCTTCAAGGAGCCTTGGCCCTGGGGGAAGCCTGCGCTTAATCCTCCCTGACAGATGGAGAGGGACGGGGAGGGGACAGAGGCCCAGGGGAGCACTGGTTGTCCCAGTTCTCAGAGAGCACAGGCTGGCACCAAGCCCACTCTTGACTCCTCCGTTTACTGCCTCGAGGAGGAACCTGGGGCTCAGAGGGTTTTGGTGACTTGACCAAGGTCACAACGCTCACCAGTCACACAGCTGGATTTGGAGGCAGGTCTTCTGCCCCTTGACCTTTCTCACACCCCCAGAGAGGGCGAAGAGCCGGATTCGGGACGCCATTCCCCTGTCAGCCCGTTGCTTTTCCAGATCTGGAGAGCATCTACCTTCAGGACAGCCTTCCCAGTGGCCCCTCGCAGGATGACAGCCTTCAGGCCTTCTCCTCGCCCAGCCTCACCCCTGACAGCTGTCCCTCACTGGAGGAGACCCCCAGCACCGCTGGCATCCCGCAGCCCCCCAGCCCAGAGCTGCAGCATCGGCGGCGGCAGCCCAGGCACCAAGGACCCAAGGGTGGGACGCACCTACCGGGCTCCCTCCCCTCCGTGGACAGCGGTTCCCTCTGGGAGGAGGATGAGGTGTTCTATAACTGAGGCGGAGGCTATGCTGGTCCAGCACCTGCTCACACCATGACCTTGCCTGGTGGGCAGTCCAGGCGTATCTGGATCCCGGGGTCCAGGGCAGGGCATCTCTTGACCCCTCGGGTAGGCACAGGGTAGGTGTGGCAGGGATGGGGCCTGCGCTCATCATGGCCTCTCTGTGCCTCAGCGGACCTGCCCCAGCAGTGGCAGCCATAACCCCTCCCCCTTCATTACTTCACTCAGGTGGGCACCTTCCCCTGCAGGGTGTCTGCCCTCAGGGAACTCAAGGACTTTCAGAGACACCAGGGCAGCCTGGCCCAGAGGAGCAACAGCCAGGCCCCCAGGAGGGCAGCCATGGAGATAACTGAGACCCACTTAGAGTGGGGTCTGGGAACCCTGCCTGTACCTGGGGCTCAGTCCCTCCCCACTCTCTCTGTATGTCTGCCCCCCAGCAAAGGTGGGGTGGCCACTTCTGGTAGCTAAGCACCTGCTCCCCGGCTGTCCTCACCAGGACATCTGTCTCTCTGGAGTGTCTGTCTGTCTGTCCTTCCCTCTCTGAACCTACTTCCTCGGTGTCCCCTGCTCCTCACCCCTGGGAGCCCACTCTCGCTCCTTGCAGCTCCCTCCCATCTCACTCAAGGTTCTCTGAGGACATTTAAAGTGGTGGGTTCACCCTGGTGATCTTGGCCTGGTCTCTGCTGGGGAAGATGTGACCTTGGGCCCCTGGGGAGAGTTCAGAGGGAGTCAGGGAGGACCCTTAACCCCAACACATAAACAGCTAGTCAACCTGAGCCACCCAGGCGTAGAAGACTCATGGAGGATGCCCAAGGCTTGGTGGACTCCTCAAGGAACCACACTTGGGTCCTGGCTTTATGAGATGTGGCTCAACCAAGCAGGAGACTAGGGCTTGAATGACACAGCATCCCACTTATTCATGAGGACAAGCATCATAGACCTGGTGGAGACCCTCTCTCCCTACCTTCTCCCTGCCAAGAAGTAGAGCATGAGGAGGGGAGCCCAGGGACCCGAGCCTGCAGTGTCCACATGACCATGGGAAACTCACTCTGGGCCAGCGCAGGTGAGGAGCTCCAGTCCCAGGCCAGTAACCTTGCAGCTGAGATGAGGGATGGACAGCGGCTCTGGGAACCAGCTTTATTTTTCTCTGGAACCTCTCATTGGGAATCAGACAACCCCAGAGGGCATCTGTGCCTGCCCTTGGTGACAGCATACTCCAATCTCGTTATTCATTAATGTGATGGCCAGTCACTGAGCTCCTGGCAGATACTGGTTTTCCATCATCTCACACTTGGCTGTGTCCAAGGTGGGATTTGTCTTTCAAGGCAGGAGCCATCGTCACACCCAGGATGAGCCATCTTCTTCTGAGCTAGGTTAGAGTTGTCTGTTATGCCAAGGAATGGAGCTGGGTTGGAGTGGGGGTAAGGGGTGACGGGGGAAGAGAGGCAGGGTCTCAGCCCAACCTCAGTACCAGGCAGCTGGGGTGCCCTGTTTCATCTTGCTGGACTGGCTCACTTTGGGGCTGGTGGATTTGTCAGGCTGGAAATTGCTTTCTTCATCTAGAACAGAGAAAGGGGGAGGGGGCTGCAGGGGGGATGTAGAGGAGGTTGACAGGACAGCACCAGCATTTTTAGTCCCCTAAGGGTGGTTTCTGGGTGAATAGTAGAGCCCATGCCACCCCATTGCACAGATGGGATCACTGAGGCAGAGAAGGGCAGGCTGGCCACTGGCCAGGAAACAAGATAGGGGAGCCAGGCCCAGTGGCCAATCTGGGCCAGGAAGAGGGACTCATCAGTATCCTCTGAATCCCCCCAGGTTTGGATGGGAGCATGCCGGTGTCCCCCCCACCTCCCCAGCCTTCTCAGGCATGGGTCCCCTGCTTTGCTCTGCCCCTGGGACCCTGGTACCTCCACCCAGGACACGCAGCCCACAGCTCTGCCCTGCGATGTCACGAAGAGGGACTGAAGGTTCAACAGCTCAAAGAGGTTGTGTGCCTGGATGGGGGATTGTTAGGAAACACTGGAGGGTAGAAGGCGCCCAGCCCACCCTCTGGCCCACTCTGCCACGCCTCTGAGCCAGGAAGAGGGGCCGGACCTGATGTGTGTGGGAGGCAAGAGATCCAGGCCTGCAATGTCCAGTGTGGCCACTGGGGGATGCCAGAGTCCATTCAAGGGTCTTGGCGAGACCACAGGTGGACAGGACCCAATATCCAGCACCCTCCAGCAGCACAGAGGGGGCAGGGCCATCTCCAGGTTTCCTGTGGGCCTCTGCCCCTTCCCCGCCCATGTGCCAGGCTCTGTCCTGAGTGGCTAAGTCTTTTGTGCAAGATCACACAGGGAGAATGTGGTGGACCTGAAACTGAAGTGCACGTGTGCGCTGGTTCAACTCCACTGTCTTTCCACCCAGATACTTAAACATTTGCCACTCTCCCACTTCCCTCATCTCTCTGCATCATCCCCGCAACCCTGGCAGTGAGGGGCGACAGGGCAGGAGCTGCTTTGCCCAGTCTGCTGATGAGGACACAGGCCCAGGAGGGGAAGGAAGCAACATAAGACGGGTGGGGGCGCGGGTTGGGAGGGGAGGCTGAAGCCTGAGCTCCTCATCAGCTCTTTCCCCACCCAGGGGCCTCATATGTCACACTCCTCAATTCTCCCTGTTACCTCATGCAGGGAAGTCTCCGGGGACAGCTTCAGGGTCACTGGTTCGGTGGGGCAGCCCCCAGCCAAGATGTCCTGGAGACACTGCTGGGGGTGGGGAAGGGTTACAGGGGAAGGGTTACAGGTGCAGGGCCGGCCTCTCCAGGATGCCTCTCTCAGACCACCTCTCCCTCAGGAGATCAGCAGGCGCCTCCTGTCCCAGCCCTGCTGACCGACCCCCACCCCATCCCCACGCCCCTCAGGAGTACCCACCTGGTGTCCTGGAGCCCAGGAAAGAGGCTCAGCCTGGAGGGCCTGCACCAGCTGGGCCCTTCGCACGATGCCCACCAGGATCTGGGACTCTGGCAAGTGGAGAGGGAGAGGGAGGGAGGCGCATTAGGAGGAAACAGGAACTCACATTTACTGAGCACCTACTTAGCCAAGAACTGTGCTGGTGTTCCTATGGGGCTGTTGTAACTATTGTCTCCCATTATAAAGGACAGGAACTGAGGCTCAGAGACAGACAGGCTAATTGTCTTGCCCCAGGTCATTCAGGTGTGGTAGCTGCAGGTGGCTGAGTGAGGCTACCAGGGGACCAGGAGGGACCCTGGCCACCACTGAGATCCCCCACATTGCAAGGTCTCAAGACAGGAGCAAGCTGGGGACGCCAGCACGATGAAGTCTGTGTGTCAGGGCTGGGCTTTCTCCTTCGTTTCCCAAGAGGCTTCACATCTGGTGCAGCCCAGTGAAGGTGCGAACCCAGGAGGACCCTGTGTTCTGAGGTCCTACTGTGTGCTGGGGCCTTGGCAAGCTTCACTCTGGCCCTGGGGTATCAATGGCATTGTCAGATATTTAGTTTTGAGGGCCCAGCTTGGTGTTTTTGCTTTCTGTTGAGTGGAATAAAAACTTGACACTTAGACATGTAAATGTCCCCCTTCCCTTTTAAATGAACAATGAAGGCTATTTCTTGGGTAAGCAGTGGGGTCCCACAGCCTGGGCCTGTGTTGGTTGGAGCACTTTGCTATGGCTCTAAGGGTAAAAGAGGACTTTGTCTTCAAGGCTAATTCTTTCTTTGCTCCAGGAGGTGAAGACTCTTGGGGGGCTCATCCGAAAGCAAACATTTTCAGATGAGATATTTGGCATGTTCCACAGCATAATGCTAACAGTCTTCCAATTAGTGGGGAAAGAAGGGCCTAGCATTTGGAGTGAGAATGTCTCTTGATCCCTACTTTCAAGATGATGAAAATGCAGTACATAGAGCTTAAGTGGTATACTCACAGTTATTTAGCTCATAAATGGCTTTATCCCTCTTGGGGTGGGCATAGGGGTGACCCTATTGTACAGGTTGCTCACTGCACAAGGTGCCTACCCAAAGTGCAAGTGGAGACCAAAATCCAGCTGTGATGTGCTTGCCAGGTGTGCACCTTATCTCATTTGCACAGGGGGACACATGGGCTGACAGCAGACTTGAATGAGCAGGGTTACCCCCCAACCCCGCCTTATCTTCTGAATGCAGATACTGGAGTTGTACCCACAGGAAATGATGCGCTAGTTAAGGTTTCCGCAAGAAGCGGGTGCCATGCCTTTTAACAAGGGCCACCATGCTTTTGTCTTTAAGGAGATGTTTACCTTATGGCAACAGGGATTTGGGGGAGGGGTCTCATTTGGGGAATGCTTAAAGGGAGGCCTGTAGGGAAGCTTCCAGAAGACCCTGGTGGTGTCCCCATGCTCCTACCCCAGCAGCTACCCAGGAACTGCCTTACAAGCACCCAGCCGACTCTCTTTAGACATGTCAACCACCCCAGGGGAGGGTGGCCATGATTTCCATTTTACTGATGAGGAAACTGAGGTTCAGGTGAAGTGACTTGCCCAAGGTCACACGGTTGGTTGCTAAGTCACAGAGCCTGGATGCAGATCCTGTCTGCCTGACAGGTCCAAGAAGGAGGCAGAGGGCATCCCCCACCCCCTTCTTCCTCCTCCCTTCCGGCTGGCACCTGTGCTCTCCACCAGGGGATACTCGGCCACGTCTGTGGAGGTCACGACCTTGACCACCTCCTCCAGTGGCGTGTCCTTGGCCAGTGTGGTGATGCTGCGGTTCATGAAGTGCTCCACCCTCACGCGGTGGGAGCTGCAGGCAGAGGGGCTCCCATCAGGTCCCAGAGTCGGGGATGTGAGACCCAGGCCGGCAGGAGGATCTGGGGGGAGCTTTGCTTGAACTGGGGACCCACGGCTCTGGAGTGTGGACAGGGCCGGAGAGGTTCATGGAATGAGGGACTCCTGGAATCCACGGTGGGAGGAAACCTGGGGACCACGTCACCGATGACCCAGTTCCTAATTCCCAGCCCCCTGGACCCCCATGTCCCCCAGACCAGCTCCACTTTGTCCTGTTTTACCCAGCGGCCTTCCCTGGAAAATTTAATTTGAATAAAAAGTGTATGCAGATGGGCACGGTGGCTCACGCCTGTAATCCCAGCACTTTGGGAGGCCAAACAAGGTGGATCACTTGAGGCCAGGAATTCGAGACCAGCCTGGCCAACATGGTGAAACCCCATCTCCACTAAAATTACAGAAATAATCTGGGCATGGTGGCACATGCCTAGTCTGAGCTACTTGGGAGGTTGAGGCAGGAGAATTGCTTGAACCTGGGAGGTGGAGGGTTCAGTGACTGAGATTGTGCCACTGCCCTCCAGCTTACGTAACAGAGTGAGAAAGATTCCACCTAAAAAAAGAAAAAGGAAAAAAAAAAAAAGTGTATGCCTCCACCAGGGAAAAACTTGAAAGTCAGGAAACCACTGGGGTAAGCAGCCCCGTTTTCCAGATGGGGAAACAGGTTCAGAGCAAGGCAGCAGCTTGCTTGTATTTGGAGCAGGGCCTCGGACCCAGGGACTCTAAGAGCCTCCTTGGTCTGCTTCTCTGGCACCAGAAGCTGCTCTGGTCCTATCTGGTTGAGTGAAGACCTCAAAGCCCATTTCCATTCTCGTTCCACCTCCTGCTCCCAAAGTTCCAGTGAAGGCTGCAGAAGTGAAGA